AACCACTCGGTCCCAGCCTTTTTCACCAACTCATTTTAAAGAATCCACCTCCAGGAAAAGTGTTCTGAGGTCTTCTTGGGACGAAACTGAAGGTCTAGTTATCGGCTAGATTGTTCCCCTCCCTGTTCCCCCCCCACACCCCCGCCAGCTCCCCGCTGGCTCTCCTAGGATTTGGAGTCAGATTCCATGCTCTGAGGACATGCTCTTAACACAATAAAACACAGTATGTTGAAAAGATTAGGAGACCTGGATTCTAATCTGCTCAGCCACCAACATACTGTGTGATGTTGGGGAAGTCACTTTTCCTCTCTTGACCCGGTTTCCTATCTGTAAAATGAAGGGCTTGGTCTACATATCCTCTAAGGTCCCTTCTAGCTCCAATATTTTATAGAGTTCTAGTCTTTGGGATCTCTAAACCCTGAGATCTGGTAAGGGGCAGGGGCAGGGGCAGAGCCAGTCTGTAAGCCGCAAGCGCCTTCTTCTTCCAGTGATGAAAGGAGGAGGGAGGTTCAGGAACATTTCCCCCACAGCCTCCTCCTCCCCCCTCCCCTACCTCCCCTCTCTCTTCTCCTCTCCTCTCCATTCTGCTCCACCTGGGGAACATGCCAGGCCGAGTTGCAGATGCAGAGCCTGCGGGGGCTATTTAAACAGCAGTGGGGGATGTGGGCAAGCGGGCAGCTGACCCATCCCCCCTTCCTCCCTCCCCAGGGCGGGAGTGACTGGCCTGGCCAGCAAGGGGCGGAGAGGAGTCTGCAGCTGTTCCTACCACCTGTGCCTGTCACGTTTCCGCCAGCCCGGTCCTCCCCCCACCCTCCTGTAGGCTCTCCCACCCCCAGTGGTTGGAGGAGGTGAGAGGAGCAGACAGGAATGGGGGTGGGGGGCCCAGGAGTCCTGGCTCCAGCCCGAAAGGCCAGGCTGGGGACCAGGCGGATTACCATGCTAATGAGTGCAGGGGATAGATGGATGAGTCACCGGACGCCGACGTGGGCAACTCCCCCCTCTTCAAACCACCCTCCCCCACCAAGCCCTGGCACTAGAGGCCCAAATCAAACACCTGTACGGGCGCCAGCGAGGGGCCTGTACTGTGCCATCTGTGGACTGTGCCCAGTGCCAGCTGCCTGGTGTTGGGGGGAAATGGAGGCGGGGGGATCAAGCCCTTGCATGGGGAGACTGGACAGTGGCCTGGTCATCTCATTCCTCGGATTCAGTGGGAAGTATGAACCCTCCCATTAGGTCCCCTCCACCATCATCCCGAATCCAGACCTCAGTCATTTTCCACATCAAGGACAAATCCCTTAGTAAGGGCTCTGAGGCTCCACACTCCACACCCCAGTTTTGTCCTGAGATTCCCCCAAGCAACCAAACCAGTCTTCTCCTTCATTCTCCCATCCCTAACCTTGGGCATCAGACATCCTTGTCCCTTGGGCGAGGCCCACTGACCATTGCCTACCTTGAATTCTAGATCTCAACTCAGGTTTCCAACCTCTTCCAGCTGTCCCTCAATCCCCTCCTCCTGCACTCCCCTGGCCCATTACCTGGGCTGAGTGTTAGCTAGTGCCTAAGGGAAAGAGGCCAGTCTGTACAGGACTGTAGGGCACATACCCGCTCTCATCAGAATGGACGGGGCAAGGAGACTGGGGGCAGGAAGCCCGTGCTTGTGTCTCTCATTTCTGGATCCTTGCACTGCTGTGGGGGCGGTCTGAGAGAAGCACGGCCACTAGCTCCAGCCCCTACCCTGGCTGGACAACCCCACCCCCCAGCTCCTCCGAGAAGCCAACCGCCTGGAGAGATCACAAACAGCCACATGAAAGGGAATTTTTCTGGGGTAGAGACAGAGTTGAAAGCTGCCTCTCCTGCCAGCATGCCCCCTCCCCCAAAGGCCCTCCAGTTCCTCTCTGGCCTGGGGTAAAGGGAAGGAGGGTGCTGGGAACTCAATTCAGACCCACTCCCACATATGCAAAACACAGGCACATCCATGCAGCCACATACCCATGTCTTCCCCAATGAATTCATAAACATTTAGGAAAAAGCTTACCTGCCCCTTCTATGCTGAGGGTGCCCCACCTTACTTCCCTGTGTCTGTGTGTGTGTGTGTGTGTGTGTGTGTGTGTGTGTGTATATATAGTGTGTGTATATATATGTATATGTATGTGTGTGTGTGTATATACATATGTATATGTATGTGTGTGTGTGTGTGTGTGTGTATGTATAAATAGGTGACCAGGAAGGTTGGCAGAGTCCTAGATTCTCCCCATGGCTCAACTGTCACCAACTCCTAGGAAGGGAACTTGAGGTCACCCTGTTCATCCCCCCACTCTCATAAAGGACTGTGCCCTTCTTTCTGCACACTCAACTAATTCATTTCCATGCCAACCATCTGTCACCATCACCAAGTTCTTCCTTACTTCTAACCTTGATCCCTCACACTACAATTTCACCCTCAAAAAGCATTCAGGTCCCCCAAAGAGCAGCCAGTATCTAGCTCAGGACAGAAACTTCCCTACCAGACTCCTCCTCTCCCCCTAACCTACATATACCTCCTCAACTTATTATCCTAATAATAGGTAGCACTTACACAGGCCCTTAAGATTTGAAAAGCACTTTACATAAACTCTCATTTTATTCTAGAATGTTAAGAGCTGGAAAGGATAAGTCATCTCATTTTATAGAAGGAGAGACTGTCCCAGGAAGGCACTTGGACCCCCAAGTCATACAGATAAAGGCAGAGAGCCAAGACCAGAACCCAGGTCCTACATAATCAAAAAATATTAGAGCTGTAAGGGACCTTTGAGATCTTCTAGTCCAACCCCATCATTTTACATATAAAATAACAGATCCAGACCTGAAGTTACTGTTATTGTGACTTGTCCAAGGTCATACAACCAATAGAAGGTATAGTATAGACCTGAAGCTAGCTCTTTTAACTCCAGCTTCCCACTGCTATCATCTGATACCCAGCACCCATGCCTATTGTGAGCTATCCTATTATCCAAACACCTCTCTAGCCTCAGTCTCCATACCTCCCATGCAGCCTAAGTTTGAATAACACCCCACTAGTGAAAAATCAAGCTGGGCCCACTGTCCCATAGGTGACTCCCATATTGACCCCAGCAGTTTTCCTCCCTGCCCTCCCCCCCAGCCCATGTTTACTCTCCCTTTCCCCTTCGGGCTTTTCAGGAACTTCCACCTAGGTGGCATCCTCACACATGGAGTATGGACCCCTCTTAGCTCCCACAGCTCAGTAACATTCCATTCCCGGGGCCCACGAAGCATCTTCATTGGACACAGATCAACACATAATAGATCACTGGCCAAGCAATGATTCCTGGAAGAAAAACCCAGCCCCTCAAAGCCCAGAGCCCAAGGACAGAGGGGAGAGCTAGGAAAAAAGTTAGGTGTCCTGGGACTCTGAGATGCCCAGGTGTGTTTACTTCCCCAAGCGGAGACTGGAGTAAGGCTGATCAAAGCTGTAGGATAGGCTAAATCCTGTTGGAGAATGCTCTGCATCTGGTAAGGAATGATTTGGGGGTTCAAATCACACGTAAGGGGATGAAGATATGCTAAGCTAATAGCTACTCATTGGAAAGGAAGGTGTGAGGCAACTGCTCATATTAGACATGAAGGTATGAGGGCAGCTAGGTGGTGTAGTGGATAGAGCACTGGCCCTGGAGTCAGGACCTGAGTTCAAATTTGACCTCAGACACTTACTGTGTGACCCTTGACAAGTCATTTAACCCCAACTGGCTCATACAAAAAAAAGGGAAAGGTATGGGGTATGGAGGAGGGGATAGTTAGAGATAAATCGATATAGACACAAGAGATCCCAAGTCAGAAAAGCAGGACCAGAAATATAAAAAGAACAAATCAGGGGCCTGGTCAAGTAGAAGCCTGGGGTGCCAGGAACAGTGCTCTATGTGTGTAAGGAAGAATAGTGGAGAAATAAGTGTAGGACAGACAAGGAATACACTATTATGTCCTCCACTCCTCCGACTCCCCAGCATGGGACCATGGGGCTGCTTTGAATAGCACAAAGCAGGGAGAGGGTCAGAAACAAGTAAAGCCCCAAACCCCCAGCTGGGAATAAAACCATGATTACTGTCAGCTTTGGGCCAGCATGGGGTCTGCAGCACATCCTCCCCACCCACCCCACCCACCATCAGAAGATTCACAGATCCATCCAGCTGTGGGTTATCTGAGGTCCAGGGACTTAGTGGGGGTTGGGGTGGGAAGATGGGGACAGAAGAGACTGCTGCCTTCTTGCTACCCCTACTAGATGAAAAGACCATTTCAAACAGTCTGTGTTTCCTCTGTTTCCTTGCAGACACCTCCTGTTCTTTCTTCCCAGAGAACCCAGCTCTTCCTGTCTCCTAGATCCTGTGCTGGGGATAGAGTGTCAACACAACTCCTCGCAAGGTCCATAGATTTTCAGGGGGGGTTTATGACACATCCACTTGGGGACAGTAGGGAGGAAGGAAAGAGAATGGAGTCATACCCAGGCCTCCCCACAAAACTGAAGATGAAGAAGCAAGATGTGAATTGAGACACAAAACATGCATTCATTTTATTCACAAAACAGCCTGGTTCGCTAAAACAATACAAACAGCATGTCCATCAGCAGTAAGAGACCAGGGCCTGGGGGGGGGGGTGTAGGTGGTGGTGGGGAGAGAGAATCCTCAGCCCCAGGGCACCCCCACTGCCCTGGGGACAGTTCTGTCTTTAACCTCAGTGAGATTATAAAAGTGATTTTTTTTCTTTCTAAGTAAAACTGGTATTAGGGGCACCTCTGTATATTGGAGCCCTAGATCCACATAAATTAGATAACAGAACTTTTAAAGTCGTCATTGTCACCATGTTTAATTTTCTTTTGAAGGACCACTGGGGTATGACATGGTCTGCTTTGGGGGGGGGCGCCCACCTCTGACGCTTTGCTCCTGGCTGCTAAGTTGCAGATGTAGATGGTTCCAGGGTGGGGGCTCTATATCACTATAAACATATTCTCATTATAAACATGAAGTGGTGTACTCTAGGAAAACTATGCACTATTTTATGATGGGAAAGAATCAAACAAAGTTTAAATGAGGTGGAGTTAAACAACTGTGCTAAATTACAGTAGTGCTTATTAGTAACTAGATTTCAAAAGGTTACTGAAAATTTACATTCTCTACACAGAAACTGCATCTTCCACACAAACAACAGAAATGTCAACACACGAAGGAAACTGATTGTCCATTCTCTGCTATTAAGTCTCCATACTTTACAGATTCATTTTTCTTTTTTTTTCTTCTTCTGCAAAGCAGTTAAATGTTTTTGTTTTTTTTATTTTTTTTTATACTAGAACGTGGAGATGTTAAAACAACAACAAAAAATATATATATAAAAACAGGAATGAAATCTGCGAGAGAATATTTTTGGTTCTAAAAGACATAGGTGCATCCATTCGTCTTCGCCCGAATCCCCTACTTGAGACAACACAAGTAAGGACATTGCACGAGATGGCCGCTCCGGGGCTCCACTCGTCACTGAAACCATCGGAAGGCGGCTCCCGTTGGAAGCATCACCTTCTGGAGAGAAAGGAAGAGAAGGAAGGATGGGGTGGGGAGACAGGAGAGACAAACAAGTGGAGTTAAGTCACAGGCTGGGGCTGGCTGGCCCCCCAAAAGCCCTCACTTGTCCCCTACCCTAGACCTCAGTAGGCTTCCTTTCCGCACCCCTTCACTCCTTCCTCTCCAAGCTGCTGCAGCCATCACCAACATGGATTGCCTCTTTTACTGAAGCAATAGAGCTTTGGAAAAGGATCTCTTCTCCAAGCCACTGATAGGCCCAGTGTAAGTGCTGAGCCATGCTATCCATAGGAAGCTTGGTCCTAGCAAGCTATCGGGATCAGAGACCCTTCCAAGGGCCAGTGCCCCGCCCTTCACCAGTCCTACGCCTGGATTCTCAGAGGAGTCCAGGTTTTGCCCTTCTTGGTATGATTACAATTTGGTTTTAGTTATGGTTTTGCCTTTCTTTGTTATCCCCCATGCTTAACACAATGCCTGGCACATAGTAAGGGCTTTAAAATGCTTGTTGACTGTTGTTTCATTTGGAGGGGGGGAATTTATAACAGCATTTTGCTGCATTAAGGAAGACTCCTCCCTCTAAAACATGTGTCCTGTCCTATCCCACTCCCCTACTTCCCCTTTGAGGGAGGGGAAGCAGATCTCTCTTATCTTGGAATTCTGCCCTCAGCTCTCAATCACACCAACAGTACTGAGGGAGGTGAAGACTGAGTGTGAGCCTGTCCCCACCCCCCACAAATTATCCTTTTCTGCTTTCTGCCTCCAGCCAGCTGGCCTGGTAACCAGGTACCCAAGCCCTCCAGAATGCCCTGACTCTTGACCAGAGAAATGTGGTTGTTAAGCTGAGTCTATATGGGGAGAGGGCAAAGAAGGGAAGTCCTCCTTAGACCCTTCTATACCTACACATAAATACCCTATTCCCCTTAGCCCCCATGAACCAAAGGAAGAAAGGAAGCCCAGTGACTTGAAATCTGGAGTCCAAGACAGATCCCTCCTGGGGGAAAGGGGCTGGGTACTAGTCTTATGAGAATCCTGCACTCATAATCCCCAAGGGCTGCCAGGTGGTCTTGACTCTCCCTGGACTTTCTGAAGCTGACATGTCTCAATCCTTTTGCCTACCTCATCCAAAGCTTACTCTAGATCATTTCCCTAGAACCTTTTCAAAATGACTGCTGAGGTCATCAAAGAAGGAAAGGAATACGGCTTGACACTGAGGGTCTTAACACTGAAGACTCAGGATGAGGCCCATAGATGTCCAAAGGACCAAGCAAACTGAGTCTGTGTGTAACTCTGTACCCATGCTTATGTCTATGTATTTGTACACTTTTTCCTAGTGAGTCAATGTGTCTATCTGCACGGCTACATTGTGTGCAGATTTTATGAACGTATATGTAACCATTTATTGTATTTATCTGTTTATGCAGTCTGTGTTTGTGTAACAAATAGCTAATTCTCTGGGTGAGGAAGGGAGGGAGGGAAACAGAGAAGAGGGAGGGGAGGGGGCTGAGGGGGGAACCCAGGCCTTTGGTGCCAGGGACACAATCATTGTTTTCCAACCATTCCTACAATTTGCAATCAAATCAAGTTGGGGGGGGGGCACAGGGGGAGGGATTGGCCTGTCTGAAAAGATGCTTTTGTGCTAGAGACATACCACACCAGCGGGCCAGCAACAGGCTCTACCCTCCAGAGGAGAGTAGTCCAAGGGAAATGGGTGGTGGAAAAGGGAGGGTATTATGACCCCTGAAGTTTGGGCCTAGATGGTATCCCTTCCCTGGGATGACATGCCTCCCAGACAACCCTGCTTTGAAGGAAAGTTATTGGAGTGAGGCATACCCCACTTGGAGAATACCCCCTACTCTGGCTTCCCAGAAGTAAAAGAATGCTAACTACCAAGCAGTCTGCCAGGTTTCGGACAACACAGAGGACCCAGGCTCCATAAACTCGGGCCATCACTCCAATGGGCTTGGCTGGCCATTCTAAGGGCTGGAGGAAATGAATCTCACAGGGCCTCATCAACCGAGGGGAATGACCATGTACCCAGGTCCTTGTTGGTTAATGAACAGTTGACCAGACCCAGGGTGGGGGAGGGGGGAGGTGTATATGTGTCAAAGCTCATTATCTATGGGGGCTGAGCAGGGGAGGGTAGGAAAGAGCTGGCTGGCTCAGCTGGAGGGACCACAATGGATGGGTAAATCCCACCCCACCCCTACTCGTCAGAGCAGTAGCCCAGCATCTAAGCAGGCCTTCCCACTTGGGCTTGTATAGAGGGATATCAGGGTCAGGGGACAGACAAAGGAGATTGAGGGAGATAGCCTGGGAAGCTAGGGCAGGGACCCTATTCTAGCAGGTTACCTCCAGAGCAGCAGAAGGCTTCTTTTTGAGCTCCTCACATTTTCTGAATTTGCAAATCTGGTGGCCAGTTTTTCGGTTCCGACAGCTGCTACACTGCTCGCAGTTTATGCGCCGTCGGCAGGGCGGGCACATGCCGCAACGTTTCCGTTTCTTCTTGCCCGAGCTGATGGCAGAAGCCAGCTCACTCTGCATAGGATATTCTGCTAGGCCCGCCATGTGCAAGGCGCTCTCAGCCAGGAACACGCCTGCGGGCGTCATGATGAAGAGGCCCGGATTGATGGGGAAGGCGCCTAGGTAGGGGAAGTCGGAAGGGCCATTCAGGGCCTCAGTGCCTGACACGGCCTCCATGTCTGGGAGCCCAGCCCCAGCCTCACTCATCAGGGGAAGGTGTTCCTGAACCACCCGTTTCAGCATCTCCGTGGACTGAGCAAACTGCTGCAGTGTCAGCTGTCCTTCGGCAGAGAGCTCTGCGGCCCGTTCTGCCTTGCTTAGCAGACTGGCCACAGCACCACTTTTGTGCTTTGAGGTAGAGTTGGTTTTGTCCATGGGCGGGTCGTGCCCATTGGCCAGCCCAGAGGCAGCAGCTGCCTTGTCCACCAGCTCACCCACCGAGCTGCCACCACTGAAGGAAGAGTAGTGGGACAGAGGCCGAGACTTCCGCAGACTCTTGTTGAGGGGTTCACTGATGATGCCACTCTTGTTCCGTCGCTCTGGGTTGGCAGGGGGAAGGGCATCATCTGAACTGCATTTCTCTACAATGCCTGACTTACTGCTGCCGCTGCCGCCGCTGCCGCCACTATCGGGCTGTGGGCTGCCAGCAAGACTAGACATGGTTGGGGCCAGGGCCGGGATGGCAACTGAGCCCCGTCAGGGGAGCTTCCCAACCGACCCCGAGCCCAGTAATGGGCTCCCGCCCCTGACGGCCAGGAATGACTCCGACACCGAGAATATGGAGGTGGCCTCAAGGCAGATGCATGGTCTAGAAGCCTGCTACTCTGCAAGGACAAGAGAGACCAGAGTTAGGACACAGCCACCCCACGGTTCTAACTCTCCCCCCAACCCAAAGAGAGTACTGTGTAGTAGTGGTATGGCCACTGACTTTAAAATCACAGGATCTGGGGTCAAATATCAGTCCTGCTACTTAATATCTTCCACTTTGGACTCTTACTAGCTGTGTGACCCTGGATAATTTTATTAACCTCTCTGTGCGTTGTTTCCTCAGCTGTAAAATGAGGAGGTTGGCCTTGATGGTTTCTAAAATCCCTTACAGCTCTAAATCTATGATCTAATGACCTATATAACCTTGGGCAATTTATTTCTCTTTGTTCCTTAAAGTCTTTACCTATAAATGGGAGGATTAGATTAGTCCTCTACTTTCTCACCTAGTTCCTATGATCCTAAAAGTTTTGGGGTTTTTTTTTCCTTTTTGGGGGGAGGAGGGATGATTGAAGATCATATAGCACCTCATGCATCTGATATATAGCACCTGATCCATCCCAGAACAAGTCAAAAGGTCACTTATAGTATCACAGACCCAGGGCTATAAGGACCCTCAGAAACCTGAGATCAACCCTTTCATTTTACAAGAAAAATCTGCAGGGGGCCAGAATATATTTTTGAGGGGTCAGTTCATAAAGTATCCCCCCAGTACCTCATCCCCCACCAGGCTCAGGCAAGGAGAACAAAGGGTGACCATAGTGTTGACGGAGGCCCCTCGCCTAGGCAGCAGGTACAGGGTATCTGAGCCAACTTCATTTCCTAATCTCTAATCCCCAACCAGGCCCCAGGAAGAAAAAGGGTTCCTATTAATGAAACACCCCTGACTCCCCCATCCCTTTACTTCTAAAGCTACTTGGAAAGTTTCTCACTCATCCCTTCTCCGTTTAGGCTGAAGAATCAACATAATGACTAATAGGTCAAACTACCTAAGATTAGGGAGATCTGTACCCATCTCCCCCAGGACATGGGTCTCTGTGAAACTAGAAAGAAATGGGGACAGATAGCCTTATACCCACCCTCCCCCAACCATGCGACCTTGTCATTTCCCCATCTTTGGGCCCACTTCTTCATCTATCCCAAATTGAAAATAATTAGATTGGATGGTCTTAGGGCCCTCTGAGCGCTAATGTTTTCTAAGTTAATATGGCCTGTTAATGACTATATTCCAGGTTTCCTAACAGTCCTGCTACATTGGGGTTTTGGTGAAGCTCTTGTTTCAGAGCAAAGAGATACTGTAGTAACCAGGCCCTGGGGGATTGGGGAGGTCCGTGGAGGGGCAAGCCTCATTTATCACGCCTTGATCCATCCCAGAAAAAGTCAAAAGGTCACTTATAGCATCACAGATCTAGGACTCAAGGATCCTCAGAAACCCTGAGATCAACCCTTTCATTTTACAGATGAGGAAGCTAAGTTCCAAACTTGCCCAGGTTCACACAGTACTATGTGATACCCTTCTCTAATGCTGATGGGGAGAAAAGAATTGTCTTATTCCGTGTTAGCCAGCCTTCTGCCTTGTGCCCTCAAAAGAAAAAAATCTGTCCTCAAGGATGCTGACCACCACTGCATCTGAGAAGATGAGGGTGTGGCTTTCATTTAGGGTAAACCCAAGAGCAGGGTCCATGAGGACCCAAGGGCTCTCAGGAGCCATCATCATGTCTTGATAGCCCAGTGGTGGATTTCTGGCATCTGTAGTAACTGCTACCCTTCTCTTCTTGGGGGTAGGGGGCAGTCCATGGTCCCCCACCCATCTGGGAGCTCCAAGAGGGAGGGTCAGAGCCAGAGGGCCTAGGCAGGGTGGAACAGTGCCGCCCGCTGAGCGGGTTGTTTGTTCATTGGGAGAGACTCACATCTGGTTGGAGCTCCACCCCCACCCCCCCCACCCAGCCGGGCACACACTGACTCTTTGTCCTGTTCGCCAGCCCACCAGGCCCCGAAGCCTCCTTTTGCCGCCCTCCTCCCTAGTCTTCCCACACCACCATCACACACACCCCTCCAATGAGTGGCCCTTGCATTAGAGGGGTGTGGGGGTGGGGATAATGACTACAGTGAGAAAGAAGCTGAGAAAAGGGGATAATGTTGGGAGCCCTGGTTCATGAAAGGACACCAGAGTCCCAAGTATGGGTAATGACAGCAGCAGGACACAGCTTTCTCTCCCCCAAAGTGCTTAGACACTTCCCCATCCCACCCCAAGGACAGAGACAAGGGTGGGTGTCTGCTGACAACACACACTGCCAACTCCACATTATCTGCAGTGATGGGAGGATGGCAGCCAGGCTAGGGCATAGATAATCTGAAACCTGTGTCTCATAGGCTCTGGAACATTAAAATTTGCCCCATGGGTAGATTTTCCCAACTCAGTTTGGCTCAGGTTAACACAACATAGTACTTGAGCAAAAAGGAGATGGTGGAAGCTCAAAGCATGACAGTGGCTCCTGAGAGCCCTTAGATCCCCATGGACCCTGCTCTTAGGCCTTGGGGCTGCTCTTGGGCTGACAATCCTCTTAGCAAGTGCTGCTAAAAGGAAGGAAAGAAATTGCAAAGGAAGGACGCCGGCAGAAGGCATTGTGGTCTGCTCTAGGCGCCCATCCTATTCAGCCCCAGGACCTGGGGATAGGAGCAGGAGATGCCAAATATTTCAAAATATTCCCAGATCTAAATCTGGTACAAAGCGGGGGGGGGGGCGGGAAATGCTGTTTTTGAAGTCAGAGGACTTGGATTCAAATCTGGAATTTTGTAATCTTTTTGACCAAGGACAAATTACTTCTTTAGGCATCGATTTCCTTATCTGTAAAATACGGGGGGGGGGGGGTGGATTAGATGGATTAGTTGGATTAGGCCTTGTAAAGGCTCCTCCAACTCCAAATCTATGATCCCATGATACCAACCTGCAGCCAAGATAGTGACCCTTCCCGTCTGTATTTGAGTGGGGGCTGGGTGCCCTAGAGGACATGGACGTGGACGTCATGTGATGATGAATGGGGATGAGTGGGAAGAAAGGTAGAGATCGATCATAGTGGACCCAGTCAAGGAGGAAATCTCCACAGATATCTGTTCCAAAGAATCCCTTTGGACCAAATTAGATGGCCCACACCTCCACTCAAGGCCCAGAATGAGTCACTCCCCCACCTCCAACTACGAGTAACAAAGACAGCATTGGGCTACAGGACCTGGGCTTCCAGTGGGAAAGGATGAGGTGGATGGGGTAGAGACATTTCTGAAAGCACCCAGGCCCAGCTCCACCCCAGGTAAAAAGTTCACTATTAAAGAGCAGGCTGGGGCCAAAAGTCAATCCTGCCAAGGTTTTGCCCCTTCCAGAATCTGCCCATATCCCCTAAGCCTCTCAGTTTAGCCTCATTCCCAAAGGTACACTTTGGTTCCCATTGGGTTGGGATGGAGAGAAGCTCAATGCAATGGTAGAGATAGTCCCTAATCCCCCAGAACAGAGAAGAGCAGGAGGAACAAAGCGACTTTGCCAGCAACAATGACCTCTTGGAGTCATCTTGTCCAACCTCCTCCCTCTGAGAACCCATCCTTGTGTCCCCTACCTCCATCCCCCTAAGAGGAGTCTATCCTTACAATGTTCCTGAACCTACTTGTTTAAGAGTCTTTGAAACCCATGGAGTCCTTCCTGGTGCCTCACCAAAATTCACCCCTATTCCCCCCCCACAACAAAATTATAGAGATGAAGAGATTTAGCTGTGAGCCAGGAAGAAGTCCTATGAAGGATGTGCCCTATAAATAGTGATAAAGGGATAGGTCAATTTTGGGCCATGTCTTCAGAAAGCCCCACTCCCACTCATTCCACTTGTTGTTGTTGTCTTTCATTCTTGAAGAGGACCGTGACATCAGGGAGGTGATGCCATGATGTGCGAAGGAATTGGATTTAAGTGAGGGAGGGCTGTGCAAAGTCACCAGCCTCACTTTCTCCTCTGGAACCATCTGGGTCCAGTGGCCAGATATACCCAATGGAGACAAGAACTGAACCACAGGACTTGGGAGGACTGTGAGTTGGGGCAGCCAGATTCCACATACTCCAGAAGCTCTAAGCTGGGAAAATAAGAAGTTGCCAGTGTCTCAGGGGATCCTAACCCTTACTTTGAACCTCAAAACCCAATAAGGATTTGTCTCCACACGAAATGAGAAGTGTGCTGCTAGACAAGAGAATCCTAAATCTTGAGTTCTACTTCTGGCTGTGTCATCTTGACCAAATCACACCCCCTCTCAGTGCCTCAGTTTCTTTTCTAGTATGAGAGCCTAAGGCTTCTTCCAATTTTAAAAATCTTGATTCCCCTTCTCCCAAATCACCAACTGCCCTCAAGAAGCCAGGGAATGAGGCAGAGTCTCTCTACCCTAGGAGGAAGCAATCAAGCTGGTGCTCTCTGCCAGTCCTAGCTGATGACAGAAATCAATAGCCAAATTACTGGAGAACTCAGCTCCCTCCTTCTCTCTCCTCAGGGTTTAGGCTCCTCCAGAGCAGGTCAAATAGAAGTCAGCTCCTTCCACCACCATTCTCTTCTCCACTGCACCCCCAAGGGAAATAGACAAGAAAAGGAGGCAGTATGACACACTAAGACTCTCCCCCCGCCCCAGGCCTTCTCCAGCTCCAGTTTCACTGGGTTTGCATCTGTTAGTCTGTATCTCCTTTGAATGCTCTGTCTAGGTCTCTCTAGTAATTATGTCTGTGTTTGCCTAAGACTCTCTTCCCAAAACCTTTCTTTGCCCTACCTCAGGCAAAGAAAACTGGAGATTCTGAGGGACAGGCCCCATCTCTTTGCCCAGGGCCTCCTTGTATAGGACCCTAACGCTGACCCTGGTCTGGACAGCAGGGTCTCCCTCATCACATCCAGACTAGCCAGGGGGGAAACTTACACTCAGGAGACATGAGATGTCAAGGAACAGGTGTTCTGGGCAAAGCACCATCAACCTAGGAAGCTGGGGCTGGAGAATCTCCACTCTACTGCCGGGGCAGAAGGTAAGAGCCCTTCTTTCAAATAATAGGTCACAGCAAGAGGGTTAGGAGGGAAATGGATTCCTCTCAAAATGTCTGAAAAGAAATGCGGGTAGAGGGGAGTAGATAGGCAAGACTCTCTGAGTACCTAAGACCTCACTCACAGAAGCAAAAAAATGTCAAACCTGGAAGGGACTGGAGAGAACATCCCGTTCATTCTACAGTTGGGGAAATGGAGCCTCCGAGAAAGGAAATTACTTGTCCTTAGTCACCCTGCTAGTAGGCAGAGGGTAAACCCTAAACCCTTTCAAATGTGTTCCAATGAACCAAAAACAGGCTAGGGTTGCAGATGGGACCTGGCGCTGTGGTTTCACTTGGAAGGAGGGAAAGAAGAAAAGATGGAGGAAGGGAAGGGAGGGGGGGAGGGGAAGGGAAAGGAAAGGAAGGAAGGAAGGAAGGAAGGAAGGAGGGAAGGAGGGAAGGAGGGAAGGAAGGAAGGAAGGAAGGAAGGAAGGAAGGAAGGAAAGGAAGGAAGGAAGGAAGGAAGGAAGGAAGGAAGGAAGGAAGGAAGGAGGCAGTGAGAAAGGATAAAAGAAAATGGATAAAGGTAGGGAAGAAGAAAGGAAGCGAGAGGAGAAAAAAAGAAAGGAAGGGAGGAAGTGCCTACCACGTGCCAGGCGCTATACTATGTGCTTTACAAATATTATTTCGTTTGATCCTTATAACAACCCTATTATGATCCCCATTTTACAGCTGAGAAAACAAAGGCAGGGGTTAAGTGATTTGCCCAGGGTCATACAGCTAGTATCTGAGGCTGGATTTGAACTCGTTTTCTTGACTCCAAGCCCAACTGTCTAAGCACTGGGCTACCTAGAAAAGGGGTGTGTGTGCATGCGTGTGTGTGTGTGTGTGTGTGTGTGTGTGTGTGTGTGTCTGTGTGTATTTGGGGGCAATGGGGGAGGAAAGGGTCCTTATATGGAAGCTTCTATTCCCTTTCCCCCATCCACCTCCAGCATGCTGCTCGCCTCGGCACCTCCCTCCTCCACCCCCCATTGGCACATCCTATCAGCCCGTCCCTGCCTTTCTCCTGCAGGCTGTTCAGAAGGGTCCTTAGAAGAGCTCCTGCCATCCAGAGATAGGGGAATCTGGCAGGCACAGTCACCAGTCACTCCAGGCTCTCTCCCCCAACCTGTGGCCTGCCCCCAAAGCTTCCTGTAGCTCCTCCTCCTTTGACTCTTTCCCTTGAGGCCTGCCTGCTTCTGGAAAGACCTTCATTCAGTTCCCTCCCTCCCTCGTCTGTCCTCCCACCCAACTCTGGTCATGCCTCATCTGTTTTAACTTAGCCTGGGGTGGGGGCAGGGGTGGGAATCTCAAGGTTGATGAATCCTCAGACCCTTCCAGCCTCCTGGAGCAGAGCTAGGAGGGAAGGGCCACCCTGACAACTGCGAGTTAGCTGAGGTCAGTGAGACTAATGTTCTGTGCTCTAGTCTGAGCAGACCTCAATCTCCTTGAGAGGTGGTTTCTGAGACAATCGCCCAGATACTTAGAAAAGAAAGGGCAGAAGACTCAAGAGTGAGCTTCACAAAAAGAAAAGGACTTCCCCCAAGTCCCTCCAAAGCACTCTTGGCCTCTGACAAGATTATCTCAGTCCCACTCCCCCAACTCATTGGTCGTCCCAGAGATCTGCTCATGGAACAGGGGTAAGTATCCACAATGGAGCTATAAGGAGGCCACCCAGTCTCCCACCAGCTCCCTAAAGCCCATGCCTTCATCCACCATTCACCAGATTGGTTAAAGACAGCACAGCCAAATTGCTCTCCAACATCTGATACCCTCCTCCACCACAAAGGCCCATACTGGTCATGAAAGTCTTTGAGAGGCTGGGGTGGCATGTGCTACCAAGGTGCCAATGGAAAGGAGTTACAGCCTGGGGAGGTTGAGAGGGTAGCAGGGTAGGGGGGAAGAAAGGCAAGCGAGCTTTGGCCCTGGGCAAGGAATCCAAAATGCTGCTGCTGGGAGGGAGAGAGCATCCATCATCATCCCTGCCAGGAATACATCCAGCCCCCAAAAAGAAATACTGCCGACTAGAGAGAGGACAACAAAGGGCTCCGTTTCATCAGCAATGCGGAGCCAGCGGCGCCCGGCCGGCCAGCCCATCGGTCATCCCACAAAGGTCTTGATTGTCTGACTGTATGTGTGTGTGTGTGGCGGAGGGAGGGAGGGAGAAGATGGAACATTGCACTGAGGGTAGACAGAGTCACCAAGAGCTGAAACACAGAGACAGAGGGACAGAAATACAAAGAGACTAAGACAGAGATGGAGGGCAGAGACAGAGAGACTGAGACACAGACACGGGGACAGAGAGACACAGAGGGAGGGGACAGGGGGAATAGACAGAGACACAGAAAGACTGAGACACAAAAACAGGGACAGAAAGACCCAGAGAGATAGCGAGCAGGACAAAGACAGAGAAAGAGATACAAAATGTCAGAGACAGAAGAATGGACGGAAAGACACACACAAACAGGAGGACACAAAGAGGCAGCTCAAGACAGACACAAGCAACTAGAGACTGAAGAGAAACAGTAGAAGCTATAAGCCAGATATAGAGAACGACAGACATGAATGGAAACCAAAGAATGTGTTGAAAGAAGATTCCAAAGAAACCACCCCAAGACCCTCACAGCCATTAGAAGTTCCCCCCCAGGCTCTTTCCTCAGAGGGGTCTCTTACTGGAGCATCTAGACTTCTCACAACCTAAAGCAAAGGGCTAGCCCAGGGCTGAGCTACCCCAACTCCTCTGCTGTGTGCCCAAGCCAAAGGTCCTCCTGAGTCATGGGCACTCTGCAGACAGATGTTACAATCTGAAGACCCAAGAAGGGAATGGCCTTTCAATCCTGTTCTGAAAGAGGTTCCCCCTTTCCTACTGCAGAAGGGCCAACCCACCATTTTCCTCCCTTTCCTCCAAGGTCCTGGTCCTCAAACACGTCTCTCAATCACACTTTAGGCCCAAGGCTAACCAGAAGCTTTGCAGTCACCTTTGATCTTTTCTGTCTTCCTTGATCTGTTCCCCTCCCCCTCCAGACTTCAGTGCCAGGGGGTACCCACCTCCCTCCACAAAGCTCTTCACACCAGCTGCAGGAGCTCCCAGCCAGAAGAAGGCCAGTCAGAGTAGATGGGGGGAAAGGGGGTGGGGACAGGGTATCAGTCCTGGACCATCTAGACGAGTTCCTGGTGTCAGGGCCTGGTAGTGGGGTGAGTCTCCTCCTGCAAGCTGATCCTCATTGGTAGAACTGCATAAAAGGGTGAACATTAGACTTAGAAGGATTCCTCCCTGGACAACTTGGTGAGATCACACCCTCTCTCTCTTTCCCATCCCTACAGGCTCATTTCTGGGAGGCATGAGTGGAGGGGGAGTAACTCATCTGGTACCCTTCTTCCTACCCATAACCCAAGTGAAACCACAGCACCAGGTCCCATCTGCAACCCTAGCATCATTACCTCAGAGGCCTACAGGAATCAAAAGTGGGGGTGGCTAGAAAGCATCAAATTCAACCCCCTCATTTTAATAAAGCAATAGAGGCCCAGAGAGCTTACGTCTAACAAGTTGTCTAAAATCACAATAGCAAGGCTAGGATTCAAACCCACATTCCCTAACTCCCAATCTGGTGTTCTTCCCACTATTTTAAGCAGCCCCTGCTCTTCTACTCAATAAGTTCCCAACCCAGGATCAATTCATGAAGGTAGGACCCCCAACCCATCAGAGTCCTGTATTTAGCTCTAAAACTGCACCCAGTGACAAAAGGAACAAGAAACTAGGTCATGGGGCTGGGAAGGTCTGGATGTGGTTCCAGGCATTGCCTGCATCACGGCCCTTCTCAAGGTCTTGGATTCTCTATCTGGGAAACGGGGCGGTTCATCCCTGCCTTCCCAATAAATAGATGTGACCTCGCTCAGCACCAGGCCACAGAGTGGAGAAGTGGCTTCCAACGTTCCCTTCTTTCCTTCTAAATGCTCTCTGTCTGCCACCGCTACACTTGTGTGTGACAGTCACCTTCAAAAAATAAAAGGTCAGACCCTGAAGAGAATCCCTGGCGGTACCTCCAACCCCCAGGGGGAGCAGGGATTGGGAATTTACCTTGGCAATCAACTCCCAATGTTCCGGGGAGGGCTGTGGGCAGGGCTCCTACCCAGGGATTCTGTACTACAGGGCTTTGGGGAGCAGAGGAAGGGGACGACATCAGCCCTGTGTGAACAGAGCGCTGTCCTGGTGTTCTAGCATTCTAACTACGCCAATGACATCATAATGCTGGTGCTGATGTCATGGGTAAAGTGGTTGGGAATGCCTTCTCTAGACTTCTCTTCTCATTCTCCATCCCTATTCCTAGCACATACACCTCCTTTAATCCATCTTGTACACCACAATCTGAATAATCCTCTTAATGCACAGCTCTGATTACATAACGTTCCCTGACTAAGAACCATAAAGGGCTCCCCAGTACCTACAAATCAAGAACAAACTCTGAAATGCCCTGCATAATGTGTTTCCAACTTATCTTCCTAGCTTGTGTCTCAACACTTCCCTCCTGAAACCAGCCTTGCTCAAACCTGATTAGTCTATTCACCATGCCCCCAGTTTACTAAGCCTGCCCCCAGTTCCCTATGCATCTGCTCATATTACTTCTCTGACAATGAAACATCTCCCCCACCTCTCCTCTTTGGCACCAGTCCAAAATCTTTAGGGCCAAGGTCAAATCCCATCTCTTCTTGATTTCCTTAGCTTGTGGTCTCACTAAGATAAAGGTCCTCACAGAGAAAGGGGAACACACACACACATACTTAGACACAGGCACACATATCAAACTGGGCACACCAGGGCAAACTGGACAGAAGGATAGAAAAGAATGGCAGCCTCAGGCAACACTAGTTGGTTGAATTGGGCTGATTAACGAGGTAAATGTTTCATCCCTTTCTGATCCCTGATACTATTCTGAGAACTTCCCATGGAAGAAAGCCACATGGAGAGACAGGGAGACACATGGAAATGCATATGTTTGGCAGTTGGCAAGTTTATCAAGAGGTAGAGGAATGGTCTCAATTATCTCAAGGTCATCTCTAGACCTGATGGCTCTATGACCAACATCTCTCCCCACAACCTCTCTGCTAGAACCAGAGCGACCATATCAACATAGGGCCTTAATTTCACTGACATGTGGTTAAAATGAATTACCTACTAGCCAAGACCACAAGAATAAAAGGGTCCCTTTGCCCCCAAAGGCATGCCAGGCCAACATTGACAGCTGAACAACAGGACTGGGGGGGCAGCTTAGAAATGGTCCTACAGTTCCCTAACCCCAGCACCTTCAGAGCCTTCCTGAAAGGAGGGAAGGTACATACTACCAGGAAACCCAAAAGAAATCCACTCAACATGGGTCTTCCCAGAACACACACACACACACACACACACACACACACACACACACACACACACCCCTTTTCACTGGGTCTTCACAAACCCCCACTGGGAGGCAGGTAGGCCAAGATCATTTACCCATTTTATAAATGAAAAAAACTGAAGTCCAAAGAAGTTGCCCAAGGCCAGACATTAAGCCAGTTGGGTACAACCAAGAGCAGAAGCCATATTGTCCCACCCCCAAGCTGTTAGACTGCCAATAGCACTATCCAGCTGACTTTAAAATTTTTACCCAGAACCCAGGGATCCGGGCTCTCTACCCAAGATCCAGGGTCGTGGTTAAAATAAAAGAGTTAGCATTTATAAAGCTCTTTAAGGTTTGCAAAGCAGTTTATACATATTCACTTATTTGATTCTCACAACAACTTTGTGTGGTACATGTTATTGGGATCCCCATTTTATAGATAAGGAAATTAAGGTGGAGACACATCAAAGTCACACATCTGTCTCTAAGGTGTATAAGGATTCAAAGACAGATTTTCTCGACTCCATGTCCAGCCTCTATCCACATCACCATGGTGGGTTAGGGGTTGGGGGGGTGGGGAGAGATACGTATGAAGACATAGTCCTTCTCTAAGATCCTCAGAGCCTTAATGAGTGGTACCTCTCCCACTAAGGGTCAGATGGGTGTCTGGTCATCACCCTGATAACTCCATGTTGCTTAAGTAGCAGGGTTTTATAGGCCACCAGGGGATGTATTGAAGAAGAAAGCATCTCTCTACCCTCAGAGTACAAAGAAAAGAGCACCTGAATTCAAATCCCACCTCTGATACTACCTATGTGACCTTGGACATGTCATTTCACTGACACAGCCCTAAGTTCCTTATCTGTAAAATAAGGGATTTAGACTAGATAACCTCTGAAGTTTCCTCTGACTCTAGAATGCTGATTCTATGATCTTGGTGACTCAGATCAGAGCTGAAAGCAACCTTAAAAAACATAAAATCCAGCTTCATTTTACACATTTTACACAAAGAGGACATGAGGGCCAAAGAAGAAAGTGACTTGCCCAAGGTCACACTGTCAACAGCAGAGTCAGAACTGAGCCCCCAGATCTAGCTTGCCTTGGTCTTTCCTCCAGAGAGCGGGGCAATGTGGATGAGTGGCTGGGATAGCAGCTCTGCGAGGAGGAAGAGAAGGAGGAGGTGGTGGCTGGACATCTCTGCAAGAAGTCAAACAGCAGGGAAACACCACTTGTTCTCCACCCCCAGCATCCCACTGGCTATCCCAGCAGGCTCCACACAAGCTCTCATTGTACGAGGGCTGCATTGCTCTGCCGCAGCTCCAGGTTCTTGGGTTTTGAGTTTCCTGGGGGGTGAGGACTGGGAAGAGTCAGCCTTAGCCACCACACAAGGCCCCCAGCTGTTCCTGCCCCGTTCCTTGTTCAGCAACTCCCCCCCCCACCCCATATCAGAGCAGGCTGGGTCATAGGGTAAAGGGGATGAGAACCACATTCCAACCTGGGAGATTTCCCTAGCCATTGTTGGAAGGGGCTCCCAAACAAGTGTGGGGGTGGCAGGGAGGAAGGGCAAGAAATAAAAAGGCAGGGACCTTGGCCTAGGAAGTTCCAGCCGGCCTGGCTGTGTTGCGAAAAAAGAAAAAGACTGCTGGCAATGGGGAGAAGAAGACTGGGAAAGACCCTCCAAGTGACTCTAGCGGGGGCTGACTGGTACAGGCACCAGTGTCCTCTGGATTGATTGCCAGGTTTCTGGCCCCAAACACTAGTTGAGTGAACATTGGTGGGAAGACAGAGATAGAGAGACAGAGAGATGGGTACCCCTCCATGTTGGCCATTGGTGCCAGCTCTCTTCCAGAATTTAGCATATGGGACTTTAGAAATAGGAAAGAGGAGAGGGTAGATTTTTGGCTGTGGATCCCTAAGGCAGGCTGCAGCCAGAGGGTACAGCAAAGCGAGGCAGGGGAAAAGTTGCTGCAAGACTCAGATTTCCCTATCAGCAGCAGAGCACACGGCCGGCCTGGAAAAAATCCTCTGGAAATTTTTGCTCAGAAACACAAGGGGCTCATACAGGGTACACACACACACACACACACACACACACACACACACACACACACCCATGATGCTGGCGGGTGAGCTGGATGTACCCTGCCCGGGGGCCTGACAGGGCAGCCACGCTCTATCAGGTCAATAATCCACAAACTAAGAGGGATTTATTGTACATGGCAGGGCCTAACAGTGCCAGAAACCCACAGCACTGGTATGTATGTGTTTTTAAGTAGGAAAAAAAAAGTGTGTGTATCCATCTATATCTGTGTCCTTGGATAGAGAGGTCTGTGGTTCCTTGCCATGCTACTGAGGCTATGGTGAGAGTGGCACAGAGGTTTATGGTAGATGACTAGTCCTTCCAAGATAAGAGCACTCTGCCGACAAGTGAAATTTTGCTAATGTGAAATGGTTCCATCGGAAGGAGGGGAAGAGGGGAAAATAGGGAAGGAGAAGGTAGGTAAGGATAGGAATGCAGGGAGGCCCTCTCTTGCAGGAAGCAGGCTGTTGTCTCACAGATGTGAGGTAGGCTGGCAAGAGTTCACTGGATGGGGAAACCTGGGCAGAACGGGGAAGCTGGAGTTTTGGCTGTCCACCCCGTGCCTATTTCCCTATCCAGTCAAGGATTTCTTATTTCATTTAAGTGAGGTTATATCTGTGAAGGAGAAGGGCCAGGCAGAATAAGCTGTGATTTATTTCTAGGACAGAAGGGTCATCTGAGCTAGCTATGCCCACCTCTCCCGGGCATGATTTTTTTCCCCCTCCCACAAAATGACCCAACAGTTTTGGCAGCTGAAAGGCAAGACTGTATGCAAACCCTGATGGCCAGGTGGTCTCTCGGCCACCTGCTCCCACCCCCTACTTGGCAATGATGGGGAATGGGGCCATAGCCTACCTACCTAGGAAGAAAACGTACTCCCCCTTGGCAAGTAGATTCATCCCTCGCCCACCACCCACAACGGCCAAGGATGATAACTGTCTGTGGCCTTAACAGCTCTCCCTGGCAGGTTTAGTCCACTACCACATCTGCAGGCTAGGGCCTCTGCGGCTGGAGCTAGAGAAATAACGAGAAAACAAAAGCCCCCAGACTGCAGGCCTAGTGGAAGGAGGGAGGGAGGAAGGGAGGTGTCGCTCTGGCCTCGGGAGCACAAAAATAATGAGCCAAGAGGGGCCGCGAGGCCAGCTTGCCCGCCCGGCACAGGGAGGCTCGAGTTGAGAGCCGGCTCTTTCCGGCCTTCGCTATCTGACCTTGACAGATGCCATGGAGCCGATGCCCTGGAGAGAAGCCGGAGAAAACTGCTGCCCTCTTTCCTCCCCTATCCTCCCACCAGCCCAAAGCAAGGCTACCACACAACTCAGTACTGGCAGTCTGGGAATCGCCCCAGATTCCTCTACTTGCCCCCCACCCTCCAGGCAAAGCCTAACTTGGCCACTGAGGTAGAGAGAGGGCTACAGATGAGATGGGGCCTGGAAGAGCAGAAGGAGAAAGCAGGATCAGAGAAAAGAGTTTAGAGTGTTCCTCAGGGCTTCTCCAACCAGAGGAACAGTTCCACTTACATTTAGCCCAGATAGCCACTTACATCTACCCAGGGACCCAGTGACTCTGATGGAGAAGACATCAACTTTCCACAGGCAAGGTCAACCCAGCATCTCCCCTGTTCTCTTCCCCACAACTCATTGGGGAACCCTCTATTATTATTGGCTGGGAGTGTGTGTGTGTGAGAGAGAGAGAGAGAGACAGACAGACAGACAGACAGACAGACAGAGAGAAAGCATTTATGATAACGGGCCTCTGTTTTCTCATCTACTAAATGAGTGGTTGGACCAGAGCATTTCTGAGGTCCCTTTTAGCTCCAACATGCTATGGTTCCATGAGATGTTTTATTTGTGAACCTGAATGACTGTCTAGGTGACTTGTGTTTGGGTTCGTGTGTGTGCAACTGCATACAACTGCTTGTGAATCACGTCATCTGCATGTGTGATCATTTGTATGTCTAGGTGCCTGTATATTTGCATGTACTTTAAGGTTCATGTGCCTATGTGTAATACTGTGGACAAGTATACCTGTGTGTAATGAAGACTGAGTACACACACCTGTGCCTGTGTGCACATATAATTGTGACTAGCGGTCCATATGTGACTCACTATGTAGATGTGTGGGTGTGAAGGGTCACGCAAGAGCTGAGGAAGCTAGACCTTGTTCTAGTCTGGGACAACTCCAGCCCCTAAAACGAGCTGGGAACAGATGGAAAGACGGACAGCCTCTGCATTTGGCCAGACCCTCAGCCCTGCAGTCGGGCAAGACCAGCTGAATCTTCCACCCCACCGAGATGGGAGGGAGGGAGGCTATGAGTGCTGCAGCTGGCACAGTGAGAATGAGAATCAGCTCTGCCAGTCGGTGCCAGTGACAGGGCGGCAGAAGGCAGTGGGTGAAGCAAAGAGAGTGCCCCCTTTCCCCCTCCCCAAGCCCTACCAGGAGGCATACATGCACCACTCCTCCAGAAGACCACATTGTTTCCTCCATCGTCTCTTTTCTTTCACCTAACCCCAGCCTTCCCAGACTATACCATCCACCATCAACTAGCATCCTAGTCAGGCTGAAAACCTCTCAAATGTGCCCTTGTGCAGTCAGGTATAGCCAGAAAGTGGAGACGAAGGAATCTGTCCTAGTATCACAAGCTGGGTTGGGGGAAGAGGAAGGAATCAGGTCTGGGGTAGGTGGTAGACCTGAGTAGGAACTGGGATGGTTGGGGAGACGGTGCCGTGCTGGAGGTGCCCAGAGGAAGATCAGTGATTCAGCACACTGACTACATAATTAAAAAATCATTAGAGGGAGAGAAAGGAGTGTGAGCTCACAGGAAGAGGCGGGAGGGGAATACCGTACCAGAACCTCTCCCCCCAAAAGAAAAATCCTACCTGCTAATATAATTATGGAAAAAAAACAAGCTCAGAGCATTTTATCTGTGAAAACAAGAACAATATCCCCAGATCTCAGCTATAGCAAAGATCGAATTGACCAGAAGCAGGTAGGTTAGGTTAGGTCTTTCTGATTACCAGGGGTTCAAGTCCCTTTAGGGACCTCCATGCCAGACAAACCCTCCTCTCCCCTGGCCTGCCCCTGGGACCTCAAGCCCTGTTGCTCAGGCTAAAGGAAACAGAAGGCATTTATAACCCAATTTTTCTCTGTGCCAGCCCCTAAGGTGCTAGCCTGCTCCTTCCTTCTCCAGAAATCTTCCCCCTGTAATCAACAAATTCACACCAACCCCCCACAACGATTTGAAGATGACTTCACCTCTCTTGATGAAATCACTCTGACCCTTTCCTCTCTCCAGTCCTCCATCGTGTTCTCATCTCCTCCCCTGGCACTGCTTCCAAAACACACAACAGAGGAGCACTGAACCCAAATCACCACTGGGCTCCATGGGCACACCCAAGGGCTGTGCCCCATGATAGCATGGCTTAGATAGAATGGCATGGGGTAGAAAACCCTACCATGAGTCCCTGAAATCCCCAGCAATGGAACAGTTTTCTTGGGTCTGTAACTCCCCACCACCCCCAGATTAGTCCAGTCCCAGCTGGAAATGGCTTCCCGCCCCCAGAAATGCAACCAGCTCTGGGGCACAGCAAGGCTGCTGCTCTCTCCCAGAATGGTGTCCGGGAACAGCATGCCAACACTTCAGGCCTGGAGGAAAAAGCAGTGTAGGCAGAAGGGGGTGGGGGTGGGGGCTGTTGGGGTAGGGAGTAGAGCCTAATTAGCCAGCTTGGGATTTCATCAGGACTTGGGAGCCTGCGCCTCGAGCTCTTACAGAAACAACCAGGGGAGCTACCTCTCACAAATGTCCGCAGCAGGGCCTGGGGTTTCTCGGGTGGGGGGGGAGGGGGAAGAAGCTGAAAAAAGACAGGAGCTACCTCTGCTAAGGGATGTGAGAGCACAGTAGAAGAGGAGAAAGAGACAACATGATGGGGAACATCTCGTCTCTATGACCATTTCCCAAGGCCAGTGGAAATTCTGTACCAGAACACTGGCTCCTTTAATTCCTATGGTGCCACCAGGCACCTCAATTAGCCGTGTTCAAAGTTTGCTCCTAATTGGCTTCATTTTCCCTCATAAATGATTCATGGTCCCCAAGGTCCGAAAGATGGGGACAGAAGGGAATCTGGAAGGAGCTTTGCCCCACTGCCTTCCACTCCCTCTCACTATACCCAGGTACCCACAGGCTGAGCTGAGAGTGGAGGAGGTCCTAACACAGAGACCATAACCCAAAGCTGTTTGGGGTTAAGCAGTGAGCAGTTGGCTAATAATGCATTTGAGATAAATTGGTGAAAATCTGGGGAAGGCTGGTTTGCGAGAGAAGACTAGGAGTAAGGGGAGGGGGAGATAAGATAGATAATGATAAAGATGGGTATAGAGATAGACACTTCACAACTCAGACCCACCAAAACACTTCATTCTTCCATCAGAAGACATACTTTCCTTTGGTACCAAGGCATTCCTAATGCCACAGTCCCGGATCACTGAAAAAACAAAGGTGGAGTTCTCCCACTTTTAAAAACAAAGTAATTGGGATATACATTGAAGGGAGTCCTCCCCCAAATTTCAGCTCCTGTCTAAAAAGAATGGGTGGATCCTCACTTGAGGAACCTAAATTAGGGAGTCCTAGTCCTGACTGGGCCCAAAGAGTCACAAAAGCCATAAAGACAAGGCTTTTGTGCCTTCCCCTTGCTGGCTGCAATTTCTTCATCAGTAAAATTGGCCTGGTCAAGATGATACTGAAGATCTTTTTCAATTCTAATATCCTACAGGGAGAGCTCAGGGATGAAAAGGACCTTAAGAAATCACCTATATTCTTTGTTATATGAGACGACTTTCTGGGATTTGGAAGGGATATGGAGGAAATTTAGGTGATGTAAAAATAAAGATAACAATAAAATTACTATTAAATAATAATCCAAAACTGATTAATTTATAATTGTATTTTCATAGAATATATTTACTTTATTAATAGAGCATTTAAAATTAAATAACAATAATTATTTTTTAAAGAAACAAGTCGGTTCTTAGGAGGACTACAAAAGTATGGGGGGGGGAGCAGCGAGATAGAGCAGTGGCTAGAGCCCCAGCCCTGGAGTCAGGAGGACCTGAGTTCAAATCCAGCCTCAAGCACATGATACTTACTAGCTGTGTGAACCCAGGCAAGTCACTTAACCCCGACTGCCTCCCCCCTCCAAAAAAAAAGGATGAGAAGGCCCTACAGGAGGGTTTATCCTAACTGCAGGCATGGGAGGGAATAGTAAGATGAGCTCTCCAGGGTTCGAGAAAAGTATGAAGCTACTGGTCCAAGTACATCTTTCCAACTTACCATTTCAGATTTTCTGTGAGAAACAGCAGAACAATGACAAATACACCAATGTAAAAGAAAATAGATGTCAAAACTCTTACCAACACAGTAATGGTCCTCTTTTCTTCCCACAGAGCTTAGCTTTTGGGGAAGCATGTGCTTCCATCCTCTCAGCAAAAAGGTGGTTGGTTGACCATAAGTACCAAGTGAGACATACACGGTTAGGTATGGCCAATGGATTGGCTTATTTTGTCTTCTTTGTTAAAAGGGAGGGTTCTATTAGGGGCTGTCATTGTATTTTTATAGAATACAATTATGTTATGAAAAGATTATTTAAAATAATTATATATTTTTAAAGAAACCACTTGGTCCTCAGGAGATCTACAAAAGCATGAGAGATAAGTGACAGCAATGCTCTTTTTAAAGAACAAATTACTGATTTTTTTTTCTTTTTGGTGAGGCAATCAGGGTTAAGTGACTTGCCCGGGGTCACACAGCTAGTAAGTGTCATATGTATGAGACTGGATTTGAACTCAGGTCATCCTGACTCCAAGGCCAAAGCTCTATCCACTGAGCCACCTAGCTGCCCCCAATTATTGATTTTTTTAAAAATGGTTGAAAAAAGGTATAGAGGATCCCTTACTATATATTCCAATGACCAGACAAGCTGGCCAAAGTAGCCTGAGGTCAGAGGTTTCTTCAGGCCCAGCCTAAATCCAGCCTGGGGTCTTTCATTGAGGCTATATTGATTTCTCTTGGTGGACACAAGAAAAGAAGGCCAGTCACAAACTGCTTCCTTCCTTCCCAGCTCAGCCCAACTACTCACCTCCAGCAGCAACACCCCTTCCAAGGCCTGGGGTTCCCCACCTTCCCATGCCCCTGCATCACACCTCACCCACCCTCTACACAGCTTCCTTTCCCACCTCTATCCTGCCTCTCTCTTCCCAGACAGCCCAAAATGAGTCTGGCTTCTAATGTCAGAGGTGACCACACACTTCTCTCTTCAACACACACTCATGCTGACCCTGAGGGCTTCTCTCACAGCACATAGCTCAGAGACATGTCCAACCAAGGCCGGAGAGGCACCATCCCTTTCTAAAATGGCCTTCCCTTCTCTTTTCCTTCCCACTCTTCTGGAAGGACTTGGAAGAGAGGACATCTAAGGACCCCTCTAACTTTATCATACTGCAGTTTCTCCTTTTCTTCTCTTCCCCCTCTTCTAGCCTCCTAGGCAGATGAAATGAAACATCAGGTGTCCAGGGTCCCGAAGAAGAGCTGGCCCCAGGCACTGGCAGGCAAAGGCTATTTTGGTTTGGTGGGCGGAGGGAAGGGAACTTGGGTTAGGTTTCCTTAGGGAGAGGTGCCAGATACATGAGGGAGTGACCCTACAAGAAAGAGAAGATGCAGGGGTGTTCGCTACTGAAACCTAGCTATCAGCCAGGGGAAAGAGGAGTGATGGATGAGGCATCAGAATTTCCCAGGAGATTCAAGAGGGAGGGAATCATTTTAGGTGAAGCCCCAACCCTAGATGCTACAGAAGAGAGGATGATGGTTAAGAGACCTAAATTCCAGTCCTAGCTTTTTTACTGACTGGCTGTGTGATCGTAGGTAATTCACTTCCTGACAATGGCTCTCCATTTCAGCTATACAGCTGGGAAAATAATCCTTGCTCTGTCAACCCCTCACAGGTTGCTGCGATGGAAGGGGGATCTGAGGAGCATTTCTCTGAGGTCCACAATTGACAAATGAGGAAATTGAGGCTCAGAGAGAGGGGAGGTGATATGTCCAAGGTCAGAGTGGTCTGCAGGTCCATCAGAAAGGATGATGCAATGTTCAAAGAGGAGAGGTTATTACCTAATCAAAATCCAGGTCTAGTAAGACCCAAGGCCCCAGGGGGAATGAAAAAACATGAGCATCCCTGCACCCTCAGAGCTCTGATAATTGCCTTCATCACCAATAAGCTGTATGACCTTGGAAAAGTTGCTTCACCTCTCTGTGCCCTGGTTTCAGAGAACACTACCACCTCACACTTGGAGAGAGCTCTCTATTTTCCAAAGGGTTTAATATCCATTACCTCATCTATCCAAAGCCAAACTCTTCATATTCCTTCTCCGCCCCTCCACCACACCTAGTGCTTCTCCTAACCTCCTCATTTCAGTTGATGGCCCCATCATCCTTCTAATCATCCAGGTTCAAGTTTGTATGGGCCTACGACTCCTCCCCCCTCACATCCAGTCATGTACCAAATCTTTGGAATCCGACCTCTACACTTCCTGTTCTATTTCCACAATCACCTATTTAATTTAAGTTTGTTCAGGTTTTTTTCCCTGCCTCTCAAATCTCTTTACCTATAATCTCTCCCACACAAGCTACAAGATTAATGGTCATAGATCTGACTATATCATTCCTCAGCTCAAAAATATTCTGTGGCTCCCTATCGCTACTTCTTACTCCGGTATTTGAAGAACTCCATGCTCTTCCCCTAACCTACATTTCTCAAGCCTTATCTCTTGCTAGTTCCCTTTGCAAATGCTACATTGCAGCCAAATCAGACAACTTGATGCTCTCTGAACAGATCCCTTGCTTTCTTCCTTTTCGTCTTTGGTCATATCCTCTCATAAGCACTTATCACATTCTTTCTTCAATTACAGTAATTTGTGTAGACTGTAAGTGTAAGTGCCTTGAGGATACCTGATCATTGTCCCGCATATGGCCTGAAGACCCTCAGCCAGGATTGACTGAACCTCTTTCTTTTTGACGATATGTAAAAGAATTGACTATATTTTAAGACTCAGTTGATATGTAGGTTAGTTTTGGTGAACTGGTTGTTTGTTTTTTCATTCTGTATTATAAGGGATGGCTTGATGGGGAGGGGAGAATGGAGCAAGGTCATTGAAAACAAAGGTAATGTAAAAACAAAAGACATCAATGAAAACTTAAATTTTTTTAAAAGAAAAAAGTATTGGCTGAATCAATCACTACAAGAACCCTACAAGGTAGCAGCTGTAAGGTGAAACCCTATCTCCATTTAACAGATGGAAGGGGAAATGAGACACATTATTGCCTTGAGGTTGCAAAGCAAGCCAGTGACAGAATTTGAACCCAGGTTTCCTGCATCCCAGGCCAGTATGTTTTTAATTATGTTCTCAACAACACTGCACTAATATGAGAGCCTTCTGAAGAGTTAAGGAGACAAAGGGATTATTCCATTCTCATTAACACTTATGTCCCTCCAGGACATACAATAACAACTGTGGCTCCCTTCTCCATCTCATGCTGGCATATCTGCACAGATAGGAAGGAGGCTAGACACCACTCCCTAAAGTAACTGAAAAACCAGAAAGGGAATAAGACCCTGGG